CCGTGTCTGCACTCCTCTGTTCTTTCCTCTCATGTTGGCACCATTATCGTAGCCCTGACCTCTCATGTCAGCTATCGCAATTCTTGTATCTTCCAGCTTTTTAAGAAGCACATTTGTCATACCAGCTCCTGTAGTATCATCAATGTCAATAAATTCTAGAAAATGTTCTCCAAGTCACCATTGCAGGGACAAATAAGCAGGCTGGTAGCAGAGTCTGAGTGAGGGAAGATATCAGCGTCTTAAGGGCCTAACTGGCTCCTAATATTTCAGTTGACTGCCTGTTCTCCTCAAGGGGGTTCAGGGAAGCAGCAGGAAACAGGAAGCTCCCTGAGAAGCTGGTGTTAATCAGTCCAGGCTCCTGGGGGTGCTGGAGAGGTACATAAGAGGCTCCTCCTCCTCTCTCTCCCTGCAGCTCCTGCTGCTTTCTGTTATTCCCTCTCAGCTTTTCTCCTGCCTCCCTGTTATGTCTCTTGTGCCCTCCTTCCTCCAGCACAGCACTCCACCATCTCTGTGCACCTCGAGCAGAGAGAATACATAGGCACCCGCAGCAGACACAATTTTCTACACTCTGGGTTCTAGTGCCCCCCCTCCGGTCTGGCACCTGAGGTGGCCGCCTCAGTTCGCCGCATGGTAAGGCCAGCCCTGGTTGGACTCCCTGGTCAGACTGCATCTTCCTTGTTGTACTGTGGTTGTGTGAGTGCCATCATGCCTGGCCTTCTTTCACCAAGAGGGGAGAATGTGGTTCATCCTGGGAGTTGTAGTCCAACCAGGGGACCCCACTAACAGAGGAGAATGGGAACATGACGGAGCTGAACTACAAATGTGGTGCCATTTCAGAATACAGGTATTGCAGGTTTTTGGCCAAAATATTTCCGCTTTTGATTTTTTGACAAAAACTCAAAATTTTGCATGGGAAAACAACATTTCCCAGACTGCTCTACTTATTTCCCTTTACCCTCCTGCAGGGGCGTGTAAGCCTTCTCATGACTGAGCCCAAAGGGAAGAGTCCGAAGAGGGACCACTCATATAGCTGTCTCGAGCAGCTGTCTTGTTCAGCCGGGTAGATACAAAAGAACGTGGTGATTTTTTTTTCTAAAGCAATGTAACCACAAACTCATTGTGGTTTGCTCTGTACCCAAAGATAGCTAATCATTTTAAAAACTGATGGTAATTACTTTAAATTTTCCTTCAGAAAATCCTCGGTAGAGCTTGATAATGGGGGGGGGGACGTGGCCGGGGAGAATATCTGTCCTGCACATTTGTGAGTCAGCACCAATGAATAAGGTAGCATGTTTGTTTGTTTTCTGCATGTTGAGAAATACCAATTTATGCCAGGCCAAATGAATGTTAGTTTTCCCACAGCACAGGAAAGGACTCCTAAGGGAATGAATGGCTGTTTGCAGTGCATCTATTTCTGCTATAGAAAGATGAACGCAGAAGAACAAGAGCCAGTATTCCCCTCCCATAATACACCAAGGGGAATGGGGATATGACTTCACTTCCTGTTCAGACACTGGAGTTCCCTGGCTGCATGGTCCAATAGGGCTGAGAAATAAGAAACGGAGTGGGGGAGGGGTGTGGATTCTACTATTCTACTCCTGTGTCTACTGTGTGATGCTGGGCAAGTCTTTTCACCTCTCCTTCCCCTTGTACCTGGTCTCACTCTTGCCAGGGCCGGCTCCAGGCATCAACCCTCCAAACATGTGCTTGGGGGCGGCACTTGGAGGGGGGCGGCGCTCACCCGGGGGAGAGCGGGGCCGCGGCCGGGCTCGCCGCCCTCTCCCCGTGCTCCGGCCAGTTGGGGA